TCTTATATAGCGCTTTTCTGCTCTCCTGGAGTACTGAAAGCGTTGTATACAACATGCCTCCTTCACCCATTCATATAAGCACTTCTAACCTCAACATTTACAGTCACCGTGGGCCAACTCGGGGTTACTATCTAGCCCAGGGGTGTCAAACTCAAATACACAGTGGGCCAAAATTCAAAACTGGAACAAGGTCGCGGGCTAACGTTAATATTTATTGAAAAAGAAATCTTCCTCCAGATTTAAGAAGGAATCTTTTCTTATGGACTCAAACAAGTTTTGCTGAAAAACTGAATATGGAACAAGCAAAGCTTAATACTAAACAATATATATATTAGCTGTATAATACCAGTAGGCCAGCTCTAATAGTAATTTGGTATGGCTTCGCGGGCCAAATGTAATTAGGCTGCGGGCCAAATTTGGCCCACGGGCCAGAGTTTGACACCTATGATCTAGCCCGAGGATATTTAGCATGCAGACTGGGACCAAGGCTGGAACCACCAATGGTCCGCTCAGTAGCTGCTCTGCTCGACCAGCTGAGCCAAATAAAAGCGTGCAGTGGAAAAACGTCTTTCCTGTGACGTGCTGTGACTGTAGGTGTGAGAGACAGTCACTCTAAAACATAAATCAGTCTGATGAAGGCACGCTGATCAATATATTAGGATATTGATCTGAATAACACACAGAAAGCAGCAGATTTATATCTCACAACCATAGAGGAAGAACCGCACCTGAAGAAAAGTGTAGAGCGTCACCAGCAGCGTCTGATGAGCCGGAGCTGCGATGAAGCCTCCTCCCATGTGATTCTGTGAAACTTCACCGTGCAGCTCCAACTTTCATGTGTGCTGCAGCGCTGAGCACACAGAGATCCTGTGTGACAGCGCGAGGGCTCACTCCTCTGCTGTACCGGGCCACCAACAGCAGCCGTCACCCGGCCCCACTTCAGTCTCCACATATGAGTGAGAGGCAGCACTCCTGCGCCCATCTGCACCTCTGTGTGCAGACCTGCTCAGTATAAACCACTTCCTGTTTCACATCAGCGTGAGGACACAAGTTACAATCTAGGAAAAACCAAGCTGGGCAAGATGTTTCAAAAGCTATGAAACAAAGTAACACAGTAACAGACTGTAGCAGGGTTATCAGAGTGCATTAGACACCAACTATGGAGAAACATCATCGTGATCGCTGATTGAGGTTTATCAGAGACACTCAGGGGAGTCTTCTCCAAACACGACATGCCAGTGTACTTCAGACCCAGCAACACACAAAGACACAAACTGGTTCATCACAAAGACAAACTCAACACCGTAGCTGTGCAGAGCAGCGAGGAGTGCTCAGACTACACTGGAGACACCAAACAGCCACAACACAGAAGAGCCACCTCCACAGGACGAGACTCAGCTGTACATCTGTATCTAAAGGTCAAAGGTCACTCTTTGAGGATGCCAATGTTCACCTGTTGGACAGAGGACAGATGGTCTGAAAGAGGAGTGAAGGAAGCATCTATGTCTGTGAGCGACCATCTTTGGACACCAACTGTCTGCCATCTATAATCCAGTTTGAGACCCTTCACAGACACCTTAACACCCACTCACATCTACTGACCTCTACTGAGGTCAGCGAGTCACATGACGAGTCATGACCCACTGTTGATCATTTGCTTTTGGAACTGAAGAAGCTTGTCGGATACATAATTTCCTTTGGGATTATCAAAGTGTCCTGATTGTGAAGAAATGTCAGCACAAGCTTAAAGATGTCCAGTCGCGTTTCTTCCAAGCTCCTTAGAGCAGCGGTCTCCAACCTTTTTAGCGCCACGGACTGGTTTATGCCCGACAATATTTTCATGGACCAGCCTTTAAGGTGTCGCAGATAAATACAACAAAATAAAACTAGTACTGGTACCGAAAAAAAGAAGATTTATTCATAACACACGTGAAAAGACCCAGGAAAACCGAATTAACGATAAAAACGATAACAAAATAACGCTGAAAACCGATAAAAACCCTGAAAACTATACATTTCACACCTGAGCCTCAACTCTCGCGGCCCGGTACCAAACGACTCACGGACCGGTACCGGTCCGAGGGCCGGGGGTTGGGGACCGCTGCCATAGATCAGCGCGACCTGGATGACTGAGCGCCTTCACAGACAGAACATGAGCTGATATCACAGAGTCTGTTGTATTTATACTGACTTACTTTTCATTTTTCACTTCCTGTAATAAAAACTCATCTCAGTGTCTTTCACAGTTGATCACATGTGAGCGGTTTCGCTCTGTCACGCTTGTTAGTGCTCAGCCTTCATCCAGAGATGCCAAAGCTGAGCGGCGGGCCTGGAGCGCCCCCTGCTGCTCAGTGTGAGAATCTGCAATCAGAGGAGTGAGGACAGAAGAAACACAGAACTGCACACCTGTCCACACCTGATCTGCTGCTGTTACGCTCTCAGGGTGGGACTAACTGCACGACTACCTGATGACCTCTGACCTCAGTGTTGGGTCAGTAAATGGTAAATGGCCTGTATTTGTAAAGCACTTTACACAACCAGTCATCCACCCATTCACACACTGGTGATGGCAGCTACATTGTAGCCACAGCCACCCTGGGGCACACTGACAGAGGCGAGGCTGCCGGACACTGGCGCCACCAGGCCGTTGGGTCAGTACAGTGAAAGACGTCCACAGCTCACAGGTGAGTGGACAGGTGTAGGAGTCAGTGATGCTGGAGAATGGTTCACGTTCTTCAGGTTTATTAGAAATGATGAATTGTTACATCTGATCTCTTTTCCTGTTTACAGCTTTCATCATGTGTCACATGTTCATCACAGCAGGACTATAAAAGACTCTGTGGACTACAGCGTGTCGGTCCACGCTGGTCCAGGTGAGTGGACATCACTTGTTGCTCGGGGCGACGGGGTTCCAGGGCTGTTTCCGCGGGGCGCCGTCTTTATCTTTCTTCTCCAGAGGCTTCATGTGGCAGGCCAGGACCAGGTCTCTGAGGGACACATAAACCACACCCAGCTGTGAGAAAAACCTTTAAAGCATCACGGACCAGGGCCCTGCTGGGCTCAGCAGGCCTCGCCAACCAAAGCTCAGAATCTCCTGGAACTCATCCAAAGACCCTGGAAATGCTTTGAACGAGGTCCAGGCCTCTCCAGGAGCCGCCCACCTGAACTGGTCGTAGGACGCTCTCTGGCAGACGGCTCTCAGCTTGGCGTCGTTCTCACGCTGATGTCGCCGCTCAGACTCGACTGCCACCTGCAGCTCTCTCTCCAATGCAGAGAAGTCGATGATGTCACACTGTGACATCGCCATCTCCTGATGATGTCACACAGCTTCTTGACTTCCTGTAAGTCACGGACTGAACTTCCTGTTTAAGTACTGAGTTCATCAGAAAGGCAGAAAAATAAAAGTGAGCCTAAGATCACTTCTGATGGAATTCTAATAGGAAAGCCGATAGGTCACATAAAGCCCCTCCTCCCTCTGCTGCACGGTGCAAACAGCGGTGACATCACAACGTGACATCACATCAGCTACACCGATCTAACGGCGTACACGGTTATTGGTCACGTGACCTCACAGCTGCTAACTAAAGCAGCTTTGATCCAGCGGAAGTTGAAAACACGCAGTCTGACGTCAGTGCTCACCTGTAACAGCCTGAATCCTCTCTGTGTTCACCTGAGCTCAGGCGCTCCCTCCGTGAACTCTCTCGTCTCTGATCGAAAACAAACCGTTTCCATGACGACGCGCCGCTCGCGTCTTCTTCTCCTCTTCTCTGAGCGATGTCAGCTCGCTGCTGCCGCCTGTGGCCGCTGGCGGAACTGCATGGCTGGGATCCGCCTGTACAAAACAGAGCAGAATAGCGCGCCACACCATCTGTGCTGGAATAAAATATAAATATCAAACAGGAGAAATATTTTTAAAAAAAATAAGACAAAGACATGATGATTGTGATCCGGATGAATCCGGACAGGATCACCGTGATCCCTACACAGTGACTTATGCACAAACTCCAACGTAAACCAAACAGGAAGCCATAACGAAGCCTCCACTGTTTCTACACTTTCTACTTCGGTAATATTAGCTGATAAGGTAATATTTCTATACAACATCTCATAGGTTTATGTATTTTATATGTCATACATAGTGTATATGTAGGACACAATCATAAAGAAATGAAACATGCAGTAAACTGAGCCTTGTGGCACAATTCATTGTAAGAAGTTACGAACTAAGAATGTTAAAGGCGATCACATTAGACAAGATGAAGGTGTTCGGGTTGCAGGTCGAGCTCAGTGCAGTGAACAGGAAGAGAAATGCTGGTGTTTGCTTATTCTGCAGCTTCTCTCGTCTCTGGTTTTTGTGGTGGTGCAGCTTTTGTTTCAGGCAGTATGTTATGAGGAAGGAGCTGATGAAGTATTCCATTAATCACAGTTAACATCACACCTGAAATATTTCATTAAGAATCTTTTATTGTGTGTGAAGTTTGGCGCCCCCTGCAGCCCAGATAAATCCACTGCACCTGGATCAGAACGATAGCATAGAATAACTTTATTTTCCATATCAATGGAAATTTGTTTCCAGTTCATCAACAGATCAATCGAGTCACTTCGTATCAACCCATATTTACACATGCATGTACATATGTACATATACAAAACTTCAGCGCAACAATACACATCCCAGCATCTCATTCAGCACACTGACTGATTTTGGCACAAAGAACCTTTTTACTAGCTAGAGTCGTCCTAACGCTGTCCTGAGCAGAGATGGACAGTAAAGCTCTGACGCTCTGCAGGTGGCCAAGTCTGTGCTGGAGAAGGCGGGGAGGCACGAGGAATGCATGAGCAACAACACAGGTAAACGCACAGCACAGGACCAGCTCAGCTCCTCCTGGCCTGATTTAATCTGATAATCTAAATCTGAAAGTTGTTTGTTTTCAGAGAGTTTTCCACTGCAGGAAGCAGGAAGTCTTTTATATCCTGGGTGGGATGTTATCGGGTCAGCACTTTAAGCTGATGCCTTCTTAACGAAGACTGAGATCTGAATGAGATGACTCCTTCCTTAAATTGTTCTTATGAAGTAAAACAGGTCAAAGATTTGATATCCACCTTTGTTGTTGACGCACTAACATGAACAAACATTTGTACTCAAGAATTTTTAGTGAATATTTTCCTGAAAAGTAAAATCTGTTTCAGACTGATCAGGATTCACAGCTCAGGTGTTTTGTGTCGTTTCTGTAAGCGCTCAGAGAAAAAGAAGAAGAACCTGTTCACATATTTCTGAAGCACAAGAATGAAGCAGCTGCTGATCATGATGTGAAAGTTTCTGACGAGTTTTATTTTACACCCTCAGGTCCAATGCAGCTCGACAATCCACATCACCGTCTCAGGTGAAACCGCAGAAGATGAGCATCGTCCGGCGAGCAGCTGGTACCATGGTAACAGTTTACCATGATCACATCTCCCAAATAACACAAAGAGGCGATACAGCATGTATGACACACAGTTTCACAACAAAGGATCTGAAAACCTGAGATTTCTAACTGCTGTTGTCTTTTATTCGTGTTTATTCAGCGGCCGTTAGCCAATGAAATCACATTATGCAAATAAACTGGGACAGCGGCTACTGAATACGGACAACACAATGCGAACAAAGTTACTAACAGGCAGCTAGCTGGGCTAATGCAACTTGCTGATGGAAGCTTTGCTAGCTTGCACTGTGATTGGTCATTTTTGTTACGATGCCAGGAACGCCAGCAAGCGTGGAGCAGCACATCTGTGAGCCCTCCCACCAAAGCTTCAGCTCTTTGTTGACCTCTGATGATTCACACTTTGGCTTGTCGAGGCTTTAGCGGCCATCTTTACGGGTGCAGGTTATATTTCTGTCTGGGGTTGTGGTTTTAGTCCTTTGGTGAATTTGTGTTAAATAAAAGTTTGATGTGTTTGATTTCTGGGTGTGTTGAAGAGAAGCAGACCCAGCAGGACGCCGTCATACACGACAGTTTATTTCAGACTAAAGTCAGGAAAATGCCCTCTTGTACAGAAAGGAAAATCGTCCCTAACAAAGTAACTTAGTTCTGCATCTGTAGTGCATAGAAACTCACTACTATAAAAACATACATAACTATTTACAACAGTAAGACCTGTCCTGTAAAATCCATCCCTGGTCGTCATGTAGTTTTAAATCCTTTGTTCTGTGTTCATCCTTTCAGATCTACAGTTTAACAGTCGATACAGCTTCTGTCTCTCGTTCGGAGTCGATATATATAATTTCTATAATGTTCCATCTGCTCATGAAGCTCCATATTTATGATCATCACATCATAAAGTCTAGAGTTTGATCCAGTGTTTAATACGTTGCATGTTTTATTTAACTTAAACATACTCATGGTATCAACACTGATGTAGAAATTTATTTTGCTGTGTGAATCTGTGTTTCCCAGCATCAGTGAATGCAGCGCAGACTGATGGCTGCTCTGGTAGATTTACCTGAACAGGTGGATGGAGATTCTCAGGATCAGAATCACATGTGCAGCTCGTCTGCACAGTCTGCCAGGGAGACTCTGTACACCCTCTTTGGGTTGGTATGACTTTCTGTGAACCAGAAAGTCATACCAAGTCATACCTTGAAGGTAAATTTCCAGTCATCTGCAGAGGAGGGTCTGAAAATTTAAAAATACTTGGAAGGATCGTGTCTGTACAGTGAAGAAGCCCAGGATCCTGAGACGGATACTGTTTGTTCTGCTGTTTTTCAGCTCATTTAAGGCGTGATGCTGAGATGCCGACATGATATACTCAACATTTACATTTTATATATATGAAATTTATAAAAAGGGGTTTTGGGTCCAGACAACACAGCCAGCAGGTCCCGGTTCAAAGTTTAACATCCACAGAGTTAAACAACAAAACAAAAAGGCAATAGAAGATGAGTTCAGAGTTCCACGAGTTTCTCAAAGGGTCCTGAACCCGTCTGGTTTACTGTGAGGCATTCAGAGGTTTAACAGGACATTCACCACTTTGGTGTTTTGTCTTGAAGGAGAAGCAAACATACTGGTTTCAAACCTGTCCTGGAGGTTTACCCAGGATCAGCTCCAGGTCCAGAGAGCTACAAGTCTGGCAAAAGATGTCGTTGTCACATGTTTGATGGTTTTAAGGCGCCAATAAAACGTCAGGTTGGGTCTGCTCCTTATAAAGAGGAGTGACGAGGTTTCAGAACCAACCCTCGGTATCAGGTGGTCCTCTCAGATTCACTTATAATTTCCACATTTGGCTCCTGGGTCAGAGAGGAGGGGGTGTGTAGGTCCAATGTCCTCGAGCGTGTTGGAAGACTCGTGTGTCCTCTGAGGGTTCTCGCAGGACGCAGAGTAAATTCCAGGAGTTTCCTTTTAGCTCTCTGAGAAAACAGTCGGGAACTCGTTGAGCAGGAGCTCCACAATCTGGCTCTGGAACACCATGTGAATCGTCATGTTTGCCGACTCAGTCTCGGGGCGAAGCAGTGTGGGTCCGAACACGATGGCGATACTCTGAACCGACATCCTGTTAGAGTCCTTGTGTTCGATCACCCTGGAGAGGCACAGACAGATACACGTTGTTTCCAAAGCAGACCTAATCACCTTCATGCTCTGCCGCTTCGTTTCTACTTGCAGACTAATTTTGTTTTAGCTGACTGATTATTTGGGAGTTGCAGATCTATTTCACCATTGCCAGGATCCAGTGCATTCCACACCTTTACCCAGTGTGTAACTGGGACTGTTAGGGGTTATCTGACAGAGAGCAGGCTGGCCGAGTTAGCAGTGGCACGGCTCACTCTGCTGTCTGTCTGCACTGGTTCATAAAGCCTCGGAGCAAACTCACTTTCGCAGGTGTCTGAACAGCAGCTCCATGGTGTTGTGGTTCGGTAGAGGAAGAGTCTGCACCAGATCCTTCATGTAGGACACCCTCAGGCTGTAGTCTGGGACTTCTGCAAACACACACACAGCTAAGGTTCTGTACTACAACAGTTTAGAGGCATGATGACACTTTTTGGTGTATCGCTCATCACAAGCGTGTGCTGGGATTATTGCGATCTCGTTACTTTGTGTTTCTCTGTGGTCGACTGCTCGGTCAACCTCTGCACATTTACAACTTATCAGATGTAGTAGTGCAGAAGAATTATGGAAGGAGCAATTCATCGGAAGGACTGTAGATTTTGACCAGTAAATTGAGTAATCTGATATTCTTGCAAAAGAGTTTATCAATGCAATGACCCCAGAGAGATTGGGTCATTGCATTGATAAAGTCGAGCGACCGTTTTGGTGATCAGCCCAAGTTTCGCCTTAATCGTGTCGTAATCGCGTAGTATACGTGGAGCAACGAGAAGTGATCAACACCTCACGACCAGCTCGGTCCAATCAGCAATCGTTTGGTCGCCAGAAAATCAAACCTGTTGGAAATCCTGTTGCCCGTCGTGAGGGCGTCACCGCAGCCTCTCGCACTGCGCGCACAAACGCAGAAATGAACGTGAAACTTTGACGAGCTCATCCGAGCCTTTTCGATGTGGCCTCACAAAATTGTCAACAACCGTGAAAATAGTTGGATTTACATTGTTGCTCAATCACAGCTGCCTGATGTTCGATGATCGATGATCGATGTGAATCTGTGTGAGTGAAAGACGGAGCGAGCGACAGATTTTGTGTTATAAGCTTCATGTTATGGACGCACAGTTTCAGGTCGCATCAGAGCATCGGGCCGTATAGTGTGAGACC